GGAATGTGAAACAGGGCGTCGACCTCATCTGATGTGACTGATCTCCCCAAATGGAAGATGAAAGGATGATGTCTATTGGTGCCACCTCTCAACAAAAACAGACAACAGAGAGGCGTCCAACATGGTCAAGGAGCACTCAGCAAACTCCAACAGATGAAACTCTCTAACAATACGCCTGACCTCTTTAGGAATCTTACCCTTTGGGAAGTTCTTCAACTTCGAACCATGGAAAACAACCTTCAGCACCTGTCACTCCTGTAAGAAACAAAGAATTAAAAAAATTTAACATCAAGTTTCAATAACATAAAACAAACTATATACCTCGCCATGCCATATCCTATAAGCGACATGCTCAGCAAATCCTGTCAACACGGACCTGTCTATATGTCCTCTTGGAAAGGCTCCATCAGTGTGAACTGATAGCTCCGTAGACGCACGAGTCACGACATCTGTATTAGCGGGGGACACCTCATCAACCTCCTCAACCAACTCAGGAGCTGACTCCATAACCTGCTCAGTTATCACCACCCCTGCAACTGCCAAAGTATCCTCAATGGTCGGCTCTATAACAACCTGCTCAATCACAAGAGCAGGCACATCCACAAGACAGGAGCCTCCACGGGAGTAGAAACTCTAGCAGTCCGCCGTCAGGGTGCGTGAAACTGCGTCAGCTGCTTAGCCATTAGTTTCCAGTGGGAACCGATTATAGCACATCGTCCTGTCCGTAGCTCGAAAGTATGTGCCTCATCATCCCGGGCCTGAGCTTCCGCTCTATCAGTCGTCCTGTCCACAATGGAACCGCCTTTTCCCCTGGTCCTCACTGAAACAAAGAATAAAGGGAGAAAAAAATTAGGAAAAATGAACTACCAGAATTTTTGAAATTTTCGGTATGTTTCAAAAAAATTGAACTACCGAAAATTTCGAAATTTCCTGTACAAGAAGTAAACCTCCGAAAATTTTCAAAATTTTCGGTAAAACATGTAACACAATAGCCGAAAATTTCATAATTTTCGGTTAGAAAATACCTTAAATTTAGAAATTTCCGATACAAAATACCATAGATTTTGCGAAAATACCGTAAATTGCTTACTATTTGGTGAAATCTCCGGTATCGCCTTGAAATTTCCAATATCGCACTGTGAATTTGAAAAATATGGTGTGGTACTAGAAATTTGAAATTTTTGAAAAATATTTTTATTAGAATATACAATTGAGGAATGTCATATTAAATCCTCAAAAATTTGAATTATTTTAGATAGTAATTTATTTCATGGTTATTGTTTTTTTTTCAGACTCCTCCATGATATAGTTTTTCTGGTGTAGATTTGCAATTTAGCATTCCCTCGTGCTATATGGCAGAGGTTTTATTCTAACACGAATCACATTACAAACCTCTTTAAATTAATTGTAACAGAAAATAAGACATACATACCGTTGTGAAAAACTAAAAATACTTTAAAAATTTGAAAATATATTTCATGACGTGCATTAAATAATCAAATTTAGATACTAAAAATACTAAAAATTATTTTCTCAAAACCAATCTAAATATACACCCTTATTTTATAAAACAAAAGTCTAGAAATATACTTCTAAAATAAATCTAAATATATATTTTTATAGGATTTATTTTTAGTATCTGGATATTCACATAACGAAAGAAAATAATCTTTAATCCAAGGGTATTTATCAAAGTGGACGTATAAGTATACGAGTAGTCAATTAACTAATCTTATTTTTTAAAAAAATCAGTTTTAAATCGATTTTTCTCAAAACCAATTTTTTATTGACTTTAAAAAATCAGTTTTGTAAAAAAAAAAAACTAAATTTAAAACCAGTTTTATAAAAAAACCAATTTTAAAATCAGTTTTATAAAAAAAAAACAATTTTAAATAAAAAAATATGACAATTAAATTCAAAAAACATAATTTTTAAAAAAATGAATTTCATTAAGACATCATGTTGAGTTTAAATAACAAAACAAAATATATTAACCTTGCTACAATTAACAAAAGAAAGGTGTTAACCTTGCTACAATTAAAGTTTTTAAAAACACTAAATATGACATCATGTTAAGCTACACACCAGAAAACAGAATGACACAAGATACAAAGTGAACAAACATCAATGTATCAAGTGCATAAGAGGAAATGCATAATTATGTATCAATATGTGATAAATGATCATTTGGAAAAGCTTAATGTAAACTTCCACTACTAAACTTGAAAATTAAAATTATAACTTGCATACAAAATCAGCAAAAGCAACAATGATGTATGTTATACCACTCCAATTATTACAAATAGAGAAACCCTCATTCCAATTCAGTGTCTTTGAAGGTAGAAACTTGTTCACAAAATCAAGTAAAACCTCTCGGTCTTCAACGGGTTCACAATTTCCTTTCGACATACAAAATTAATCAGCTTTTACAATAAACTTAATGCTGCATAGCATGGAATGAAATTACAAGAATGTCAGCATATAAAATAGTTGTTTTTATAAGAAGCAGAAACACATTTACTTCCTTATTTTGTTTGCAAGAATACTTTCTTTTGGCATCAAAATAATTATCAATAGAAATAATCACAATTCTTCTTTATATAAAGAATGAATCTCGCATAGGTAGCAGAAGATCCCACAAAACATTCAAACAATGACTAAGCAAAACACCCACAAGACAATATCTATGAAGCTATGATCATAAATTAACACATAGTAATAATGATACTTAGAAATATTCAGGTAAGTTTACACATCACATATAAATGAGACAACTACCAAACCAAAATATTTCAGAACTTAGAGTTGATAATTGTAAGGATTACATAGAAACTATTAATTGATTCAAACATTGCAGCAGAATGTAGAATTCAAGAAAGGATATAGAAAACAAAAATGAGAATAGTAGAGTAAATAATAAGATAGTGACTCTTAACTATGCCGAAACTGACAAGTGATAACTAAACTAGTAAATAAATGAAGAATAACAAGATCATGCATTAACATATAGGCCTAAATTGAGTCTAAAAAATGAATGATACTCTTTCTAACACATTATATTTGGAGCAGTTCATAATATGAAGACTTCACCAATCATAACTAATAAAATTGTGGCATAATACCACTGTCTATATTCTTTGGTACAATTGGTTCAAACCAAAATATTCAAATTCTCAAGTGCAGAAATCAGAAAAATCACATAACATAAACGCACAAGTGCAGATAATGCATATATAAAAAATTGAGTAGAATATGTAGAAAAATACTTTATAATTCTTTACCGTTAAGTCCTCTTCGAGTGCAACATAGGTTGAAGAAGTTGAACAACTAGCACCATCTTCCGTATAAAGTAATTCTATAAAACATACAAATACATTTCATTATGCCTCAAGTATAATAAATAATAATACATTAGCGAATATACTTAGTTATCATACCTTACTCAAATCTCTCAAGAATATCAAAATCATCATTTGTAATCAATGATGAAGATGTTCCTTTGAGCCAATCCTAGGTACATATTAGTGCTTTGACAGTTGTCGGTGTTAATGAGTTGCGATATGGATCAAGCACCCTTTCTCCTGTGCTAAATGCAGATTCAGACGCCACTGTGCTTATTGGTATAACAAGCACGTCTCTTGCAATGTTTGCAAGGATGGTATAACAGCCAGAATTTACTTTCCACCACTCGAGAACATTTATCTTCATGTAATGCTCTAACTTCTCTCCAAGATAAGTGGCTAACTCATTATCTGCATTGTCACACCCTTCTGAAAGATGAAACTCAGTAGTTCCGTATGGATGACTAACATTATCAAAAACTTGCGGCTCATGTGGATTACCTTAAGGAGGCATAAACCCAGCATAATATTCCTCATAAATAGATTTCAAGCAAGACTCTAAGGTTTCTTTCAAGGCATCAGCATCAACCTTATTATAATATCGTCGTACCATCAAATCAACCAATCTAATCTTGCATGTAGGGTCAAAAACTAGAGCAATCAACAACATCATATTAAGCTTCTCATGAGGCCCCCAATACTTATCATACTTATTTTTCATCTTTTGAGATGCTGAACGTAGATGTTCATCTTCACACGCACACATATCCACAATGCTCTTTCCAATATCCAAGACCTCAAACATATAAATATTGCTTGTCAAATAAGAAGACCCTGATATATGTACAGTAGCATCATAAAACAACTTCAAGAATGGAATGATTAAGTTGATATGCTTCCAATCGTCTTTCGTCGGGACACCTTTTCCCTTTTTTGTCAACTCATTCACATACCTAGCACAACATAAAATGTTCAACATCAATTCAACTTTATATAAATTCTTTCTTAAAACAAACTCGCATTTTCAAAGGAATTATCTCCAATGGATGCCATATATTCTTTTCTAGTGAAACTAAACCTTTATAGTCCATGCTCTCCTCATCAATACATGCCTTGAATTTAGCGAGCCTCGCGGGAGAAGATCTAGCATACCAAACAGCATGACGAACTCTATAAACAGAATCATCAATGTCTTTCAAATCTTCTTTCACAATCAAATTCAATATGTGTGCGCAGCACCTCATATGAAAATGGTTTCCACTCATAACTAAACTATTCTTATACAAAAGCCTTCTCTTGAGACGTTCAACCCCAACATCATTAGATGAAGCATTATCAATCGTCAAACTAAGCACGCGGTTTAAACCCCAACTATTTAAACACATCTCTATTGTTTCATAAATAGCATCCCCTGTATGACTTGTGACTTGACAAAACGTTAAGATCTTCTTCTGTAAGTTCCAATTATTGTCAATGGAATGGACCGTCACACACATATAGCTCAACTTTTAACAAGAAGTCCACATATCAGTGGTGAGACAAACTCTTCGACAATTCAGAGAAAGTTTTTCAAAATCACTTTTTATGTGTCCCATAGTTTCAAGACATCACGTGCCAATGTTGTGCGCAAACAAATCTGAAATATTGGTGAAGAGAGACTCATAAATTCATGAAAAGACTCATGTTTGACCTTCTGAAAAGGAATCTCCATGTTAATGAACATCTTAACCATTGCTCTTCGAATATCTTCTTGGTCAAATTGACAATTAAAGGAGAGCCAACATGTTCTTCAACACTTGTCATAGAAGATGATGTCCTTTGTCTCTTGTAAATAAGGCATCTCGATAAATGAGCATGCATGGAACTAGTTCCATTATTATACTTAATTTTTATGTCACAGTACTTGCACAAAGCTTTTTGTTCTTCTTTTGGCGATATAATGAAATGATTCCAAGCCTCTGAACGATTCTTTCGCTTCTTAGTGTGAGGAGATGGCATTTCATTAGAGATGGTAGGTGGAGGGGTTGAAACCGTATCCTCGGATGTTGCATACATTGGCAAGTAACTAACATTAGTCATCTTGATTATGTTAAATATAGGAAAACAATTTCATATTAGAAGAACAAGATCAAATCACAAACATTTTAGACATTGGTTTATAAATAGAAAACAAAGTGTATTCAAGATCCTTTAATTTAGTATAAATAGAATTCAACACTAAATTGTGCATGCCATCAATACAACTAATAATAAAGAATGCAGGGGCTATGACCTCAACAAAATCTCACAAAATACCAAAAAGAAAAACAGTACAATTAGTGTTATCAATTGAACCATACAATACAGTTCATGTTGATGCGCAAATTATAGACAGAGTATAATAAACCAACAAATCAGAAAACTATATCCATTGAAAACAAAGAAAAAACATGGTGGAAAAATCTCATATAAATACAAATTAAGGATTTCAATGGTAAAACAAAATAGTGGGAAAACCCAGATTAGCAACAATTAAGAAAATCAAAGCCGCACACAAAAATTACAGTAATATTAACAATAACTGCAAAATGAAGTTCATATAAACCATAAACACTAACATAAAAGTAGAACAAAAAAAAACAAAAAAAAAAAGATTTGAAACAAACCTGGAATTTGAGACGACTAAGAGGAATCGAGGTCTGTGAATATACGATGAATTTGACAAAATTGAGGTATTAAGACAAAGCACGATTTGGTTAGATTTAAAGAATTTCGTTGGTTTCAGACTGATTTAGGTTAACCCATAATTGTGATTTGGACGATTTCGTTGAATTTGAAGAAAGATTTTATCGATTTCATTTGATTTGAGATTAGGATTTTGGATTTCGTTCGATTTTGTTATGCAGTTGGGAGAAGGGAGAAAGAGACAGAGTTTTGGATCTGGATGTGGTAACCGTTAAGCTCTATCGGTCAAGAATATGGGTACCGGTTTTTTTACTTTTATTAAATGGGCCACCAATTTTGAAATATACTATTGGATTGGGTTTTAAAATTTGGATTAATTTGGATAAGAATTTGGTTTATAGTTATTGGTTATATTGCACACTCCTAGACATCACATTACATAATCAAATTACAATATTTCAATAAATGTGTTGCAACTAATGCAAACACAAGAAAGAATACAACCACCATAGACAAATTCAGGGAATAACCCATAAGCTTAATCTTCATCTTCAATAATTCTCCGTTTTTCTTCGTGTCCTTGATTAAATCCATGAGTTCATCATTCTTTTCTTTCAAAGATCTAACCACTTATTTTGCATGGTTGCTCATTTCTTCATCAACCCATTGAAAATAGTTACATCCTTTTTTCCTCATCACCTTAAAATTACCACAGGCATAAAACCTTCTTTCGAGATTCTCGTTCGTCCAAGAGACCATCAATGGTGACTCAAGCTCACACCAACATATATTCCCTCTTCTTCTTACATGAGACTGAGTTGTTGAGGCAAAAGAGAAGTTTGATTCATTCATGACTCACGAAGAAGAGAAAAGAAGAAAATGCAAGGCAAGGAAGAAGAAGAAAAAAGAAGAAGAAATTTAATGAAAGGGAGAGCCGTCGTTAGAACGCAGAGAAGACGAGTATCGATGAGAATGATTAGGGTTATCTCATTTTTTTTCTGTTTTTTTAATAATAATTATATTAATTTAATATTTTAGAACATATTAAAAATATAAATAACATAAATCTTTAATAATAAAATAATTTAATATATTTAAATAATGAATTGACAATAACACATAAACAAAATTAACATCGGCTTTTTAAAAAAAACTGCCAAATTTGAAGAGGAGCGAAAATGCAATAGAAAACTTAAGAAAGAACTAAAATAATAATAACTTTTAAATAATTGATCAAAATTCAGAAAAAGACATAATAGAAAGACCAAAGTCACATAAATAAAAATTGGCAACACAATGCATAATTAAAGAAGCTACTCCTTGTAGCACCAAAAGTTTTGAGAGGTGTCAAATATATATATATATATATATATATATATATATATATATATATATATATATATATATATATATATATATATATATATATATATATATATATAAACTAATATCCAGCCGCATACAAATATAAAAACTAATGATTGTTTCAAAGTTGTAAAAAATATTATAAGAATATGGTCATGAAAATATAATATTCTCATATTTGATTCAATTTTTAAAATAATATTTTAAGACATATTTTATTCTCAGAAATTTATTTTACTCATGACTCTTCTATTTTTGTTCCAAATTTTAAAGAGTGAGAATTCAACATTCTCATGAAAATAATATTTAACTAACTACAACTCTACACTACTACTCACATTTATTTATTTTATTTTTTATAATTTTTTAATTAAATAAATATCATAAACATTCTTAAGAAATTCAATTTTTTGTCAAACACTTAATATGAATATGATTCCGAGGAATAATAATGATGGGAATAGAATTTCAAGGAATAAAATTTCTTTAACTTGAAACAAACACATTATCAGTTTTGTGAGTCCTAAAACTTTTAACCATGTCATCTCCAAATTCAAATCTTGGTTAAATTAAACAAGTTTGTATCAGCTCATCCAATGATCTGGAGTTTAAGCATTTTGCTATGGATTATCTTTAAAGTTACATAATAGCAATGACATTTTATTATCAACCTATGAAGTCATTATCTATCCAATCACCAATAATTTCGTTCAATCAATGAGGTTATTATCCATCCAATCACCAATTTTTTACCATGACTGGTTAAAATATGCTCTTCTCATCTTCCTCAACACCCTCTAGGTTATAACCTTGTTCAAACATAGCCAAAACTATTTATTTTGGCACTCAATCCTTAATCCATGACTAAGGATTTCTTCAAACATTAATTTGCAGCTCTATCAGCATACCCAGATTTATACTAAAATAATTAAAAGAAAAACAAATTAATTAATTAACATGATTGACATTAAGACTTTCAGCATTGAAGAAATCATGCTTTAGATGCAGTCACGCAATCTGAAATCTGAATCATAGGATCAAAATCGGACAGTTCATATTCCAACTTTGGTAAATTGGGTTTAAAATGCAAAGTTGGAATGAGAACTGTTTGATGCTGATCCAGGGTCCAGAACGATTGCATGAATGTAGGGAATTTCTAAATCAAGATGTGGAGATGTATAAGTTAAATCCTGAACAAGGAGAGTATACAGATTCATAATGGGTATGTTCTTTATATAGGTCATCCGAATCCCTAATTCTTGCTCCCAAAATTCCACCATCTTTTCTTTTTTCTCGACTCGTCTGAAAGTATATCTGGATCATTGAGTGTAATATATACATGATTAGGTAACAAGTATCATACAAAATTCAAATATTGTTTTGATTTAGTCTAGTGATTGAAATCATTAACAAGTTCTTTTCTAAAATGCAAAATTTGTAAATGTACCTCCTTGAGGGTAGATGGAATTGTAATGCACCTCTGCCCAAAAACTCAGAAAAATCACTGCAATAAACAGAACATGATTCAACAAAACACAAATAGCTTAAACAATTTCTGAAGTTGTACTTTGGATTTGCATCAAAATCGAAACGTATACAAAAGCAACACAATCGCCAAGTGATATAATAATTCCTCTCTTCATATTCATCACAAAGAAAACAAACCTCCTGTTGGCTTCTCAAAATGAGGAAGTATCTCTATGCAACAGGTGTCTTTGAAAGAAGTCATGACAAATATTCTCACACCATACTGAAAGAAAAATTCAAATGTATTAATATAGCAAAACTTAACAGTAATATCATCAACCATTGAAAACGTGATTCAGGTAGATCGGAAAAATGGGCGGGAGGGTTAACAAACCTTTCCACGCAACTAAATCTAAAAATTGATTAACCCACACTTTAAATTCATAACTTATTCGTGAAATATGAAGGGTGTCGCAGCAAACAACTACCCGTGAAATACTTTGTTTTGTGGTAAATTACAGAATTATTGAGCAAGTGCTACAAAAAATTGTGGAAGAGTACTTTATTAGTAAAAGTCATACCGAATCGGCAGCAGCTTGGAGAGTGACATGATCTCCCCATTCTCCACTCCTAGTTAAGTTTACAATAAAATTTGATTAGAACAAAAATCAAGAAACATACTGAAAGAAAAAGAGAGCGGTCTTTACTTTGACATCTTGTCCAAATAGTCACCATATTCCATGGGAACATATCCATCATAAATCTCCGGATTAGATTTGAGCTGATTAAAATCACGATTCAACAATCAGAACTGATGAATAATTTCACAATAGCGGAGCCGGTATTATATTCCAGGCAACCGAAAAAATGATAATCAATTAAACAACAAACCTGGCTGACAACTTGTCTCCTCACAAACTTGTGGCGCTCGGGGGCATGATACAGTTGATCTGAGAGTGCACGGAACTGCGAAGAAATGAAAATAAAAGAGATTTCGTGATATTTACTCTCAACATAAAGTTGCTACCGAAAAGTATAAATCATTACTATGTGATTGAAAAGTGGAAACGTTTACTAGGTTAGGTCAAGTACTATATGCTCACCCAATGAAACAATAGGAAAAAAATGTGATATCGAGGAGCTAAAGTGGAGGAAGAAAGCTAGGAAACAACAAATTCCTATTTCCAAAGACTCAAAAACTAACTTAAAATAAGGAAAACTCTCCAAACCCAAATTTATATCTAGAAGACCTTTGGATCACATAATGATAATTGAGATTTCTCTATCCTGATTCAAAACTTATGAAATCTATTTCACCACGTGGATTGTCAAAAATAACGAAAACAAGTGAATGTTATAAGCAACGAACCTGGCAATTGCCATCACCGTGCACCTTGTTCTCCACAAAGTCGTATAATTGCAATCTGGTCAACAGAAAATGCACGTGATGAAAAATTCTTTCCACCAACATAACTTATTTACAAATAGAAAACGGAAAAAATAATCCAAAATGAAACCCATCAGGGAAAATAGCTCAAGCTTGAATATAGTCCAAAGAAATAAAAACTAGCAAATATTTAGTT